GGAGAAAGGACAGCTCAGGGTCGAACAGAACCCCGAGGTTCCTAACTGGCTTTGAGAGGTGGAGAGTGCAGCCTTGGATGCTGATGCTGTTAGCACCTGAGGTACGGAGGCGCTGACATGAGCCAATCAGGAGGGCCTCAGTTTTACGCACATTGAGCTGAAGAAAGTTGTCTCTCGTCCAGGACTCGATGTCGGACAGGCAGGCTGTCAGGACATCGGTGGTCGTGGAGTTGAGGGTAGAGGAGGAAAGGTAGAGTTGGGTGTCATCCGCATACATGTGGAAGTTAACCCCATGTCTGCGGATGATGTCACCAAGGGGGAGCATATAGAGGGTGAAGAGGAGGGGACCGAGGACAGAGCCCTGAGGGACACCGCACGAGACAGTGCAGGGGCCGGAGGAAAAACCATTCATGGAAACAAAGTGATGACGGTGGGAGAGGTACGACCTAAACCACTCAAGGACAGGGCCTTGAAGGTTGAGGTGGGAGGACAAGCGGTGGAGGAGGATAGCGTGGTCGACCGTATTGAATGCTGCCGACAGGTCGAGGAGGACGAGGAGGCAGAGGGAGCCCTGGTCACAGATGGTCAGGATGTCATTGGTGACCTTGACCAGGGCAGTTTCTGTGTTATGGGCAGCATGGAAACCCGACTGAAGGGGTTCGAATAATGAATGGATGGAGAGGAAAGAGCGCAGCTGGGAGGCGACAACTCGTTCCAGGACCTTGGACAAGAAGGGGAGGTTGGAGATGGGCCGGTAGCTTGATAGCTGCAACGCATCAAGGGAGGATTTTTTCAAGGTGGGAGTGATTGTGGCAATTTTTAAGGGAATGGGAACAAAGCCAGAGGAGAGGGACAGGTTAATGATGTCTGTGATATGTGGGGCAAGGAGGTGGAGCTGGGAGATAAGGAGTGGAGTGGGGATGGCGTCAAGGGAGCAGGTAGTGGGTTTCAGGGATAGGATGAGTTTGGTGACAGAGGGTGGGGAAACGGGTACGAAAGTGTGTAGGGGAGGATGGGTAGGAGTCGGAGTGTGGGACGGAGGGGGTGGGGGGTGGGTGGATGTTGGAGGGGAAGTGACCGCGGAGCGAATTCCCTTGATTTTGGATTCAAGGAAATCCAGCATCTCCTCGAAGTGAAGGTTGGAGGAGATGACCTGCGCGGGGTGGAGGGGGGGACGGAGGAGTCGGGATGTGGTAGAAAACAGTAGCCTGGGGTTGTTCTTCGCCTCCAGGATTATCCTGGATTAGAAGGACGATTTGGCCAAGGCTAGAGTGGAGCGGTAGATTTTGAGGAGGTCCAGCCAGATTTGTCGGTGGACCAGTTAGGCCAGATTTGAGGCAGGTGCGTTCAGCGGCCCACACCTGGCTCTTCAGTGAGCGGAGGTGGGTGGTGAACCAGGGGGAGGAGCGAGAGTAGGAGACAGTACGGGAGGTGATGGGGGCAAGAGTGTCGAGTGTGGAGGAGAGGGTGTTGTGGAGGAGGGTGAGAGGAGAAGAGGGGTCATAACTCTCAAACTAGTCCTCATCAATACTTCAGTTATTACTTTTAGAAAAATCCTACACAATTTTGTGTTGATTCCTCTTTATAACTTTAGGGTTTTTAGATGCGCATTGACAACATCTATACAATGTTTCCAAACATTGTCGCCACTGCAAATATTAACCTAATAGATGTGTGATCTCTAGGCTTATATCTCACTCCTTATTTGAATCAGTGGATAAAATTCTCAATCCTCCTTTCATTGGGTGCAGCTCAAATGTTTACAGAGCTTCCCAAAATATTAATGATACTTGCAACTATTTGTTCAAATTTACATAACCATACTTTAAACAACTTAATTTCCCTGAATACTGTTATTGACTCTCTTTTTTAATTGTATTCACCGAACATCCTGGACCAAAGCACACTTGCAAAATACATATAATCTGCAATTTCGTGTGTCATGTCTTCAGGTACCAGCACATTTCCCATCCTCTTATTCACCACAGTTCTCACCATCACCTGAAGGAGCCTTCCTCCAATACTGGTAAAAGTACCGCTTATACTGCATGAGAGTGAAGCAAAGTGGTTTCACATGGTTTGTTTTCCTGTGACTAAGTATTTCAGCAGCATGCTGTAATTTGGCATTTTTGCACAACGCACTGGATGGAAGGCATCAGTCTAACCATGATGTATTAAATGAGAGGTCATCTAATAAGTGGAATAGGCTTACACCAAGAGCCTTAGCAGCTTGAGGGTTTCCCAATGGACAGTATCACAGCTGCTGTCTGTCAAATGTGTTCTAATCTCTAAGGAGCCATCACTGTTGGTTTTGTAAACCTTGGGTATGGATTTCAGTCAACCATGAGGGAATGTGTCAGAGATCTCATAGATGTGCCATGTTCAGTCCTCAGAAGGTTTATTGCTGTCTATGAGCATATAGCCTCCACCAATAACAATTTCAGATTGTTGGAGAGAATATGAGAGGAAACTCAAACCAGCAGGTGGCTTTTTGAGTTGTAGATCCTGATCACATACTTAGCAGAACTTTCCACAGTGACAATTATTAGGCATCTGAACCCTGTTCCACTACCATCAAGGATTGGCCATAATCCCAAACTCTATCTCTCCAATTCCATCAAATGCACCTAATAAGTTAGATATATGTCCATCCAGGGCTGGTATAGTAGATCCCCATTATAACATGAATAGTTGGGGTCCATAAAATCTCAGTCAGTGCTATAACAATTGTATGATAACAAGTCAATGCTTCTGTATTCTACATTTAAGGTATCAGCCTGTCTCAGCTGGTATCACTTTAGCCTCTGAGTCAGAAGCTGAGAGTTCAAGCGCCACATTAGGACTTTGAACTCATGGTTTCGGCTGACACTCCAATGCAGTTCCAGAGATGCGCTGCAGCATGGGAGATGCCAACATTTGCATGAGACGTTAAACCAGGGTTCCATCTGCCTGTTTAGGTGGACATTAAGATCACATAGCACAATTCGAAAAGAGAATTGTACTGACCAGCAATCCCCGCGTAAAATTGGTCATTAATGTACTGGCTATTTGTGGGACGTGTTATAAACAAATTGGCTGCTGGGTTCAACTACACAATACACAGTAAATACACTTTACAGCAAATCCTGTGAAGCCCTTTAAGACATTCTTCCAATGTGAAAGGTGTTATATCAAATGCAAGGATTATTATTATTATGATTACTATTATTCTCTGTGCTTACACACAGGAAAATGGCTGGCTCCAATAATGCTCTGATGTCCAGGAAGTCAGCAATTTTGGCTTCTGGTCACCAGCCGACATTTTGAAGCACATCTGCAGCTGGCAAACACATCTTTGACCTTTTCATATGTACAATGCTGGAATCTACACCAAGTGACTATTATAATTGAATGGGTTATGTTGGGATTCCACTGTAGAAGGGGAGCACGGACAGCAAAAACACATTGTGAAAGTATATCAGTAGCATCAGGGAAGATTGTGGGTTTAAGAACCACAATGGGACTTTGAGCTCCTAATCCACGCTATATAGAGAATACTGCATTAACAGAGGTGAGATGAAATGTTAAGCTAAGGTCCTGTCTGCCTGTTCAGGTGGACATTAGATGCAATACGATTGACACTTGTATAGCGTCTTTCACATCGAGAGCGCTTGGCAATTCTGGCTGAGCACCGGAGCTGTTGGTGGGAGCTGAAGAAAGATGAGGAGGGGAGAGATGACTGGCAGTGTAGGCAAAGAGATATTTTTTGAGGCATACCTTGAAAGAGAGGATGGAGGGAGCAAGTCAAATGGACCTGGGAATGAAGCTCAGAGCGTGGGCACCAAGTGGCTGAAAGCCCACCTGCTGATGGTGGGACGGATAGAAGGGGCGATGTCGGGTAAGCCGTGTCTGCTGAGTGAAGGGAACGGCTGGGTTGATAAGGGTAAAGGAGATTGCAGAGCTAGAGTGGGGCGAGACTATGGAGGACTTTAAATGCGAGAACATTAAATGCGAGAATGTTGAACTCAATCTGCTGAGGGATGGGGAGCCAATGGAGCTGAGCAAGGATAGTGTGATAGATTTGTGAAGCCTGGTATGGGAGAGGACACTCTCAGTATTAAATTACACCTTTTGAAAAGAGCATCTCCTGTATACACAGTTTACAGTAAAAATCATATGAATGTGATCTCACAGAGTCTAGGGTAGGCTGACAATTAAAAGCAGTGCTGAGGTGAGCTGCGTTGTTGGAAGCACCATCCTTCAGATGAGACGTTAAAACCAATTCCCATCTGTCTGTTCTAATGAATATTAAATATAGAAGCTTGAAGGGATATGGGGTTAGGGCAGGGCAGTGGGACTGAAGGCTCAGTTTGCTCTGAGAGCTGGTGCTGCCTCCCATTAACCCATGGCAGTACCACTATGGAAGTAATCGCATAGAGGTGGATGTCCTATGGGTCAACAAGAACTGCTTCTAGTCAGTGGAAGGATTCACTATTTAAGTGATTCTGACCCCTCAATAAGGAATCCTATAATGAAGAACTCCAAATTAAACCATGATATGGTTTATTAGTTTAAAGATGAAATTCTGTTTTTCTGCCTTTAGCTCTGGGTATTCTGATTTCTGAAACTTTCCACATCCTCACTAATATTTTACATTGATTTTCAGATGATAAATGCGATGTATAGATTTAATAGGGTTATCATCCAATACCAGTACAAGAGGGTATTTATTACATTATTCTCCAAATAAAATGAAGTATTTTGACCTCAGCTGATGTACCAATGGCTTCTATAGATGAAAGCAGTTATCAGAAGCAATAGCACAGCTGCTTAGTATTCAGCAAGCTTCAGCTTACCCATTGTTTCACTCATGCAGAACAATCCTTGAACTAGAATTCATTTGGATGACTTTCTACGCAACAGAGTACAAATCAACAAAAACTGCAAATTATCCTGTGAACTGTCAGTCAAAGAGGTTTATTTTTAAACAAGTATAAAGATCTTCCACACTTCTTTTTCAGAATCACAACTACAGCTGCTTGCATGATGGACCTGCGGAGGTACCCCTTAGATGAACAGAACTGCACGCTGGAAATCGAGAGCTGTAAGTTTTCCAGTCATTTCACAGTTACACTGAGAGGCAGTGTTCAAGAGAGGTTAGAAAAATGTTTTTTTACACATAATGTTATTGAGACAAGGAATAGCTCACCAAAAAATGATGCTTGAAACAGAATCCATAATAGATTTTGCAGGGAAAGAGACAAATATTTGAAAAATTATATATAGTAATAGAGTGTGGAGAAAGGATGGGAGAAAGGAGTGGGACTAATTGGCTAGTGTTTACAGAGAGCTGGCACAGGAATAATGGCCAAATAGACCGCTTTTGTGCAGTAATATGTTATGATTCTATGAGGTTAGCTTGATGTGTATCGTGGGTGAATCATTTCTGTGCAAGTTTAACTTTACCCACAAATGGTCATTTGGAAATAGTTTTGGCGAGTGTTTATTGGGTTGCCACATGTTAATGCTCAATGGACCAGAAACACATTGCTCTAGGAGACCTGAGTTTGAATTCTTCCTATAGATGGCATTTACTTAGGCCCACACTATAAGGTACTTTAAATCACACTCAGGTTACCAGCACAGGTCCCACTCAGATCACCCATTGGAAATGATGGAATGTGAAGGTATTCCACCTCAGGCTCTTACTGATGTAGCACAGAGTTGCAAGACACATTGTCTCCCACAATATGAAGAATAACATTTTAACACAATTCTTTGGGCTTATTCCCAACCCCACCACACACACACACATACTTTCTCCCTATCCTCTCTTTATTAATACTCTCTGGAATTAGGTAAGCAGGGTGCATCCCTCTGGGAATAGAGGGTGTATTTTCTGAAATGAAAAGCAGGGATGCACCCTACTTATCTAATTCCAGAGACTATTAATAACAATAATACTTGCATTTAATATACCACCTTATCAGACTTCTTTTAGACTTCTCAAAGTGCATCACAGAATATACTGTAAAGTGAATTTATTGTATATTTTGTGGGCGAAACGTGGCAGCCAATTGCACACAGCAATGTCCCACAAGCAGTCGTGGATTGAATGACCAAATTATTATTTTTTTTAAAAGGGATTATTATCCCCAGAAAAGCGATCCGCCAATTTGCAAGCAACCAGGTTCCTTAGCTACTGCTAGTTACACAGAGGTGTGTGGATTAAGGAAACTTGCCCCACATATCGCTCTGCCTGGAAATCTAATCCAGGTCCTCTTGCTTGCCAGGCAAGTGCTCTAACCATGAAGCTACAGAACTCCATTAGACTAAGGTCGGGAAGAGCCACGGCTTGGGGACCCCAATGTGTGTGTTTGAAAATGTTGAACCAGCTAAAACTGCATAGCTTGCTATTGAAATGACTGTCTGGCAAGCTTTCAACTGATTGTCCAGCTATGACCACCCTGCCCATGACGGCTTTTACTTGCAGGGTTAATAGGAGCTGATTAGAAAGAATTTCTGCACCCAGTGACCAGTCTTTCCCTCCAAGCTTGACTGGCTCTGGCCTCTTGCATGTCCCTCATGCCCTCCGTTCCACCATTGATGGCTGCGCTTTTCGCCACTGCGCCCCGAAACTCTGGAACACTCTTCCTCTATCCCTGTGCCTTGCCCCTTCCTTCCCCATCTTCAGGTCTTGCCTGAAGACCTTCCTCATTGACCGTGCCTACGGTCACCACCATCTCTCCCCGTTTCGTCATCGTGCTCCACCACTGTCAAGTGCTCTGGGATGCTAACCTTCATGAGGAGCAATATATAAATACAAGTTGTTGTTGATGAGCCTAGCTGAATAGTCTGTCATCTACAATGCCCTAGAGTACTATGGAACCACATGGCTCAGAAACTGGACTACCAAGTCCACTATAAAGGATTGACTGGATTCCAACATTACCAGTCACGTTATCCTGGAGTTAGTTCATCTTCCCCCAAGCATGGGGAAAGTAACCCTGGAATACAACAATAACAATTTACATTTTATACTGTGACTGGGAGCCCTTGATGGGGTGGGGGGGCACCGGGGAAAGGAGAGGAAAGATTGGTCAAAGTAAGAACAAAGTGATAGGTGTTATAGTGGATTTGAAAGCAGAAAGAGAGAGGGCAAGGTGGAGGGATCCTGGAACAGAGTTCCAGAGTGTGGGGGCAGAGTGCCCGAAGGCTCAGCTACCAATAGCAAGTGTATGAATCAGGCCAGTGTTTGTTAAGCAGAACAAGCAGTCATGGCAGTGGAGTTTCAGGAGATCATAGAGGTTTAAATGTGAGGACAGATATCTTGAATTCAATCCACTGGGGGGAATGGGGTGCCAGTGTAGCTGAACGCGTATACAGTGCCTACATCAGATAATATTTACCACTTGTTACCCAAATATTATTAATAATCCTGGCGTTTGGTATATAGAGTCGGGGGTCATCCCAAAGTGCTTCACAAGATTTATTGTGATTGACTTTATTTGTGGGCGAACACAGCAATCAATTTGTGCACAGCAATGTCCCACAAGCAACCATGAAGTGAATGGCCAATTGTATTTGAGGGATTCTTGGTCAGGACACAGGCAGAAACTCCATTCTCTTTTCGAGTAGTGCCATGGGATCTTTAATGTCCACCTTAACAGGCAGACGGGACTTTGGTTTAACATTTCATCCGAAAGACAGCACCTCCGACAATGCTACACACCATTAGCACTACATTGGAGCGTCAGTTTAGACAAAGTGATTCCAAGCTTGAACCCAAATTTTTCTGACTCAGAGGTGAGAATGCTACCACTGAGCCAGACGGACAGTTTTACCCAAACTTCCTGCTCTATCCTTTGTAATTCATCAGGCTGTTCCTTTACAATTCCCCAATTTATAACCAGCACCTTATTTCTCCTCTGCTGCCGAGTCACTCGTCTGCTGCACATTTTCAGCACTTTTGTTTCCATAATATTTTTACATGATTTAGTTCTGAATGAAACAGTTTTAATTAAAATAATCCTTATCAAAGTCCAGCTGGGATTTCAAACAGTACAAGAATAATAGTGTTTTATTCTGAAAACTGGTTGAAATTATTACCTTTAGTGCCGTAAATATAGATCCATATAATATCTGCTGGTTAACACTACAATATGATTATTCCAGTGGAGCAAAAAGGTAATTGGGTCAGCATCACATATCATTATAATTATTCCCCTAAACTGCATTATGGGACCTGATAAATACTTTTGAAGTAAAATTTTACATTCATAATGCTTTTTGGAATTCACATTTTAATTTAGAATTTCCTTTGCAATTTTCTTTCAATTCAATTACATGTCTGTGAATAATGAGTGATGAATTAGTAAAGGAATCTCCCATTATCTGATACAGTGATCATGGCATTGATTTGAACAATGATGCATCATTGCTGAACAAAGATGTGATGAGCCTATGATACCTGACAGCATAATTTATCAGTACTGAAAGTGAGAGGAAAAGTTTAATTAGTGCAGCAAGATTTCTACAGCCTAATAGATTGGAAATGTTATGGATTATGTATGTCACTACAACAGTCTGTGAAGAAGGAATCCAACAGCAGAGGTACAGTGGACTGAAAGCTTTCAATTTCCTTCTCCGCTCTGATATTTTATAACCCATTGGAGGCACGATATTATTGACTCTCAGGTCACACAGCTCTAAATCAAATAATAAAAATAATAATCCTTGCATTTGATATAGCGCCTTATCATGTCATTGAGACGTCTCCGGGATCCATTACTGTGAAGCGTTCTGAGATGCTGTCCGGTGTGTAAGGCGCTATATAAATCCAAGTTGTTATTGTTGTCTCAAAGCGCTTCACAAAATGTATAGTAAAGTGAATTGACTGTATATTTTGTGGGTGAAACCAATGCACTGGGTGAAACCCCCTCCCTCACCAAAAACAATTGAATGGGCTTTTTCATTTATTTCATCTATTTGAAAACGTTTTAATACCACACCTCAATCCAAGTGTTTTGCAGGATTTACTGTACTGTGTATTATTGGTGTATTACTGGTGAATATGGCTACCAATTTAAATACAGCCATATCCCACAAACCGCTATGAAATGATTGATCAATTTATCTGAGGGATTTTTGGCCAGGGCACAGGGAGAAACTCACTTTACATTTCGAAAATTGCCATGGGATCTTTAATGTGCACCTAAACAGACAGGTAACACGTCTTCAATGAACAACACCTCTGACAATGAAGCACTTCCCAGCATTGCACTATTGTCAGCCTTGACTCCAGATATGGAGCTTGAACCCACAATGTTTTGACCTAGAGGCCAGAACTGAGCCAGGATAGCACTTAAGGCCTTTGTAAATCAAATGGCCACTGCAGTTCTTAACCTTAAGATTTTCCTGTTGTAACATCCATTCTTCCAGCAACTAACTATGCTTGTGTTTTGAGCTACCAAAACAAGTTTGTGATGGCACTGTGATAATGGTGATAAAATCGTCTACCTACTGTGAATCAGAAGGCCAAAATGACAGTCATGACAATGTTAGCGAGTAATTAGATCAATAACATGTTAAATCTGTCTTCACACAGTTTTTTCAGCCTGTGTCAAATCACTGACGCATTAAGGACTTTAATTAGGATTCTTTCAGATCTTGGCTTCCTGGCTTTATTCGTATTTGAATAAACATCTGCAGGCAACACGTTAGGAGTTCAGACAGTGAGTTAAACCCTGTCCCTAATTTCTATGGATTCTCTACTTTTATCTAAAGGAGAGTGTCATTTTTTTTACTTGTTTTAAAAAAGGTGCCTCAATAAAAAAAATTAAGTGAAGGAAAATGAATTTACAATTTACTTTGAAGGAACAGGGTGGAGAATTGAATTATCTTGTAACTGCACTAAATTGTAGTTGAATGCATTTCTAAAACTATGCAGTAACTCCAATAATGAGGTGACAACTGTTGACTTTTTGTTTTGATCAGCTGGCTGTGTGAAACATGCAGAAACCCATCACTATGCTTCAGAGTATGCAAATCAAGATTTCCACATATCCCAGCTACACATGGAAATCCCAGAGATAGATTGTTGGA